ATAAATCAAACTTTGATTGCAAATTATTGTCAAGAAGCGGGGCTTATACCTGATACTTGCCGAGGGCCTATGTTTAGCATAATTGCATTACAACACATTTATCAGGCATCGAACGAAGATGTTGACAATTTATCTAGACATTCAGAAATTCCAAATGGAGTTTCTTGTTTTAAACTCCGTAAAAAAATTTCGATTTCTTTTTCCCGAGAAACACAACATATATACGGAGTAGTTGTTACTCCTTTCATTAGACTTTTAAGTTTTAACTGAGTCTCTAAAAAAGGTCGAAAGGTAAAAAAAAATGTGTTGTTAGATTTTTACATTTTGTTAAATGAGAAGAGATGAGTTTTGTGATTCACATACTTTTTCTTTAAAAGAAAATTAATTTTCTTTAAACAGCAAAAAAAGAAAGAATGGTTTGTCACGTAAATAACTACTCCTCCGTCCCATGATACCTTTCTCCTTTCTTTTTTCATCCGTCCCAAAAAATACTTTTCATTTCTATTAAAAAGTCACTTTTACCCCTTACTTTTTCATACCCTAACTATCACATCATACCTTTTTATTAATAATCTATCCATCAAATCATACTTTTACCCATCACATCAAAGGACAATTTTGGAAATTCAATACCAAAATATACTTTCCTTAAATCCCTCCTAAAAAGCAAAAGTCTCATGTTTCATAGGATGGAGGGAGTATAAAATAATGCATAATTATGGAGTATGACTAACACGTATTACTTGGCGTTGCAATTTACAGTATGACGACATGGCTGAGCTCGAATGGTTATCCAATTTTGTGGAGGACTCATTCTCAAGCGAAGAGGACTTGCAGAAGCTGCAGTTTATTTCGGGTATCAAGGCCCGGACCGCGGAATCGTCGTCCGAACAAACCCGTTTCAAGCCCGAACCCGCCGACCCGCACTCGCCCGCCGCTCCCACCTTCCGGCCCGACATGTCCGTGCCCGCCAAGGCCCGCAGCAAGCGCTCGCGGGCCCCCCCGGGCAACTGGTCCTCCCGCCTCCTGGTCGTCTCTCCCCCCGCCCTCTCCGCGCCTGCGGACTCTTGCGGGAAAAAGACGGCAAAGGCGGGCCCTAAGAAGAAGGAGGGCCCGCCGGGCGCGGCGAACAGCAGCGAAGGACGGAGGTGTCTCCACTGCGCGACAGACAAGACGCCGCAGTGGAGGACGGGGCCCATGGGCCCGAAGACGCTGTGCAACGCGTGCGGGGTGAGGTACAAGTCGGGGCGGCTCGTGCCGGAGTACCGGCCCGCAGCCAGCCCGACTTTCACGCTGACCAAGCACTCGAACTCGCACCGGAAAGTCCTGGAAATCCGGAGGCAGAAGGAGCTGGTGCGGGCCCAGCACCAGCAGCAGCAGTTGTTTCATCACAAGATGATGTTCGACGTGTCCAACGGCGAGGATTACTTGATTCACCACCACTTTGGGTCCCACTACCGGCAGCTGATCTAGTGAGTGCAGGCGTAGGGGAGCTCCCGTGAGGGCTCGACCAATCAAAAGTCTTCTTTTTTTTAAAGAAAGAAATATCATCCTTTTTTTTCATAGCTTTCATTTGTTTTTTTTAATTGCTATAGAAATTAAATTAAATTAAATCAATACCCCCCATGCCCACACAGGCTGGAGTTTTAACTTTATTGAATTTTGTAGGTTTTCTTCTTATTTCAAAAAAAGAAAAGAAAAAAGAAAAAGAAAAGAGAGTCCCGGTCGAGGAAAGGCAGTACTAGTGATGAGTTGTAGACTTGTAGGGTACCCTAAAAAGAAAGAAAGGAAAAAAAAAGGATAAAGAATGTGGATTGTGGGATACAATGTGAAGGACGGAAGGGTATATGTGACTCTTAAGAATAATTACTTTTAACCCCAAAGCGCCTTGTTTAATTTGTATTACTTGAATTCGAAGATTACTAGCTAGTCATAATTATTGAAGATTCAATCTACTTTGTTTTCACTTATGTCACATTCTTATCAAATACTCCCTCCGTTCCACTAAACCCTTCCTCTTTCGTTTTTTTTGCTTTCCACAAAACACTTCCACTTTCTATTAAAAAATCACTTTTACCCCTACTTTTTCATACCTTACCTATCACATTATACTTTATCACTAATAACCAAACTATCACATCTTATTTTTTCCCATCACATCAGGGGCAAAATTGGAAAGTCAACCAAAATTACACTTTCCTTATTTTTCCCCAAAGTCAAAACCGGAAGGGTTTTGTGGAACGGAGGGAGTATTATGTGTGTGTTTTTTTTCAATTGAAGTTTAGAGCAAATTTGATAATTAAAATCTAAAATCTGGATGGTAATTTTGACCAAATGATGAGCCTAGTAATATAACAATGGCAAATTCTATGGCACTCTATAACAATTGGTAAAAACTTTATTGTGTGAGAGAGTAAGAGTTGAGAATTGAGAAATTAAATGTTGCACTTGAAAATTTTAAATATTGCTTCTTTCATAAATTTTGTTGAGTTTCAAAATGAAGTTTTATAATACTCCCTCCGTCCCTAAATAAACTTCCACTTACGTTTTTTCTTTGTCCCCAAATAAACTTCTCTTTTCCCTTAAAAAACCTCTTTTACCCCTTACTTTTTCATACCCTACCTATCACATCATACCTTTTTACTAATAATCTACCTATCACATCTTACTTTTACACATCACATCAAGGGTATTTTTGGAAAGTCAACACAAAATATTCTTCCCTTAAATAGTTAAATCCTCAAAAAGTCAAAAATGGAACTTTATTTAGGGACGGAGGGAGTATAATGCAATAGTTTGACTATAAATTATGTATTGATTTTATTAGATAACTCATGGTATAATCTCAATCTGGTAACTGGTTCTTAGAGACGCCGCCTCGTACCCGGTGCGCACATGGAGCTATTACAAAGAATAGATCGAACTCTCACACTGTCGCTGTCGGGATTCGACCCTAGGATCAACGGGTTTGGATGAATTGAAGTTGGATAGATCAGAGATATAAGATTACTCGGGTGAAATGGAAAAGGACCAAATGGAGTTTTAAAATAAAAAAAATAACAGAAGAAGAGACAATATTTTAAATAAAGAAAACAAAATAAGAAAATGGACATACAGAGCCATGCAGAGATGGGATGGGATATTTGCACGTTCATTGTGACTTTGTCTGCATCCAAACACGACCTCTATGTACCCCGCCCTGCACCCAATCTTTTCCACGTCCTTTTCCATGTTTTTTTTTTGAAACCTCCTTTTCCATGTTATTATGCCGTATTCGATTTCTTTTTTTTTTTACTATTGTTTATAATTCTACCTCAACACAATACTAGGAAATTTACCTAAATAGTATTAATACATAGTGACTTTTCCAATGTAGTATCACATATATTTATTTTCTAATATAGTACTTGATGTGTATAGATAGATATATATTATAAAAGTATAATATTTTAAAACTATTTATTTATCAAAATAAACTTATTGATATTAAATTTATACCCGAGTATAATATCACAATTTAATGCAATTTGTAGTTTGACAACTATTGTTTAGTTTAACAAAAAATGACGTTTAAAAAGATGATAAATCTTTTCTAGAAATTACGGAGTACATTTATTTATATGGCTTCATTCTTTTGACAATAACTACTAATGTTACAATATAATAACAATGACTACAGTGCTTTGTTAGAAAAATTCGTGATTTTAACCTCCCTAACCCCCCTGCCCTTACCCCAGCACCCATGGCCCCCACCCCAAAATTAAAGATATCCCAAGGATATGTTTGAGGTGAAGACCATATATAAAGTTTTTTTTTTCAAAGGAAAAATAACATAAAGGTAGGATAGTTTTTTGGGAGCGTCTTGAGAAGATTTTGAGGTAATTTGGAATATAATAAATTTGGCATATTGAGTTTAGAACAAAAGGGGTATTTTCTTCATGTTTGTGAGTTCTACATTTTTTTTAAAGTTAAAGTCACAATAGACTTTCATTTGGACAGATTTGGTAATTACAATCTCCACTAACCTTCCACATAAACTAAAATTTAATTTCCTCCATTCTTAGATAAATACATCAAGATTTTCATGTTCTCCAATACATAGAACAAACAAATCATGTTTGCCAATGGAATATGTAAAGTTATTATGGAAGTTTATATTGAGACGAATCTAACAATATTTAATGACTGCTCCCTCCGTCCCTGAATATTTGTCCACTTTTGACTTTTTTCAATCAAAATTAGTAAAATTTAACTTTAAATTAAATAAAAATAATATTAGTTGTTGATAAAAACAATTTTATTAGATTTATTATATCAAATATTTTTAAAATACTAATTTATTCGGATTAATATATAACATATATTTCATTTAATTATAAGTTAAAAGTTAAAAACAATTGATCGAAAAAAGTCAAAATAGACAAATACTCATGAAGGGAGGTAGTATTTTTCTTTATGGAGTATAAAAATCACAAAAGATCATCAAATGTGAATGAATGAGTAGTATGGACCGAGTCTACCTTATAATTTTATGGGGATATTTATGGAATGGTGACAAGAGTGCAGGGACCAAAAAACTTTGCACAAAAGGATAGGAGACACACAGACACAACACCATCAACCCTCCCACTTCCTCACATGGCATTTCACATTCCTGCACAAGCAATCAAAATCCTAAATAATTACCAAACACCATTCACTATTCAGCACCCCACCCCCACCCCCACCCCCACCCACCCCCCACCATAATTCGATTCTGTTACGGTCACATTACAGATGATATCAAAATTAACCCCGCCGGTGTCTCGCAGAACTATCTGGGTCTGGTGTCAATTTTGGTATCATCTGTGAGGTCAAAGTAGACATTTTCTCCCACAATTTTAGAATATTGTGTGACAAGAATCAAGTGTTTCACAATATATGCACATATGTTATATGGGTTCCTCTTTACCATAAAGATAAGGACACCAACATGACAACATAGTATCTTTTTTAGCAAAGGACATATTCCCAATTCATTGGCCATTCACATACATTGTGGCATCAAAAAATCTAAAGGGAAATCCACAAATGGGGCTAATGGGCAGTAAAATTCCTGACATAAAAAGAATTTCAGCAGAAGCATGCCCAAGTTCATAGAAATGGATAAAAAGAGTAGTGTATGAATTATACTTTTTTTTCGTTCAAAAAAGTTATAAATAAATAAATAAATAACTGGAAGCATATGAAGCCAACAACTTTCATGTGCGATAAGATGCCATGGCTAACCATATCATCGACCTTTGACATCCATCTTTCATCGGGGAACAGAGAGACCTAACTCTGTAAAAGGCAAAAAGGAAACACCACTGCATAAACAACATGTCCAGAAACTTAGAAATCACTCAATTGAACTTTTTAAGAAATCAATAACCAACAGAATAAAGTATTGGGCAAAATCTGTTAAGTTAAGGGCTTCTCATTCATATTTCTTCTTAGGAGGCTGTCCGGTGCACAAATCATTCTTACTCGTTGAGGGAAGATTGAGGGGTCTCACCTAAAGGGTGTGGTCTAAGCAATCCCTCAATCGGCGCATCAAGGTTGCCCTTTATTTATCTTCTTATGATACTTCTAATGTAAATATGTAATGTGGTAAATCAATCTTTAGCCGCTCTTATCACGTTGTTACAATATAGACAACAAATAAATGGTTTCCATTTTTTAGTCAAGGCAGAGTGCTCAATGGTATAGGGTAAAGAGTTAGTAAATGTCAAGCGTGTGTTTACCTGGCAACATTCTCATAACCCACTATAACACTTCATTTATTCCTAATCTCAGTTATTCTCAATCTAAGATATATGTTGGGCCAACCAAGAACTTGATAGCAATTTGAAGAAAGGAAGACAAGGGAAAAAAAGTGAACTCAACCAAGTGGAAAAGGAAGCACTAGCCCATATTGAGAACCAAGTTTGCATTGCAAAGTTCAACACATATATCATCAGTGGAGATCCCAATTTTACTATGTGTTTAACGGAATCGTGAAGAACTAGCATGCTGCATAAAGGTATTTAGAAATGACGATGTACATGATCGGTAATGTATGAAATCTGTAAACTGTTTCCAGCAAGATCATCAAAGTTAGATCTATGAAGTGTGCTCCAACTGCCCTGACTCTTAAGAAGAGTTGGATTTCAAATAAAACTCAAATATACTTCAATGATAAAACACATTTTATACACCATGCAAATTCCGTGCAAATCAAGGACTCTAGAGAAGTACTGGAACACTTTAGAACAAGAAAAACGAAAAGATTTTGGTTCATGACTTCATGGAATAGATCAAAAATTGGAACCCAATTTAGCAAAAGAGTCTAGTATTTGCTCCATGGCTCCATGGACTACGTCAAAATGGAATCATATTTAGCAACATAAGCCTGTCAAGTCTATACACAGTAACCAACTTTGTTGAATGAATTTCATTGGCAGACGAGTGTCTTATACTCTTATGTTATGGAGGAGAGACTCTCTCTGTATGAACGATGCACTGGATTTTGAATTTATACCAATAGAGACCCACAACAACAACCCCAGTAAGATCCCATAGAGTGGGGTTCGGGGAGAGGGTGTATACACAAACCTTACCCCTACTTGTAAAGTAAAGAAACTGTTTCAAAAAGACACCCAACTCAAAACAAAAGGAACTTTAAAAAACATGTTAAGGAAGAAAAATGGGAATGACAAAAGATAATTGTACGAAAGAAGCAAGCACACATGGAATGTGAATGACAAAGGATATTTGCACGAAAGAAACAAAAAAACAATCTAAGGCACAAAAGCTTCCCCTACCACCCTAATCATAGGACTCCAAATGTTCCTATCTAAAGGCAAATACCGATAAAGAACACGTGCTTAAAATAAATTTATACACCTCACACACGACATAGACTATGAAGAGCATGTTTTACACTCAGTTATGTGGACTGAACTATGTTTTGTTGATAATTGTACTGTAAAACTCACACATTGAAGGGTTCTACACACGATTCCACCTCAAGCGGTCCATTCTAATTGGCTGGCTATACACAAGCGTAGGTAGGAAACGAAAACCCCATTAGAAAGAACGGCCTAAATGGGATTGCCTATGTCAGCCTCCGGTTGAGGTGCACTAGTATGAGCTTGGGTGGGCAACCCCTTTTGGCCCATTCTAATCACTCCCGCAGTCCCAACCTTTTATACAACACAGACACCATCACACATACTGAAAGTCCCAGGTGAGAGGCAAGTCCTATAATGAGAGAAATGTGTGTTCAAATTGATTCAAGGGTGTAAACCCTGACCATTAAAATAAATTAAAAACATGGCAGATGAATCGCTTTTGAGACCTCTCAAGGATTGCCAGTCTCAACTCTAGAGAGCGAAACAAATGTCAAGCTTTTGAATGTTTCAATGGAGAACAAAACTACGTGCTTGAATCAAGATCTTATGGTCTAAGAAAACTCCTCACCTCTCCAGCACTCATGATCAATGGCACAACAAAAATTGTACACATTTGTTTATTGACTTTTGTTTATGTTTTTTTTGTTTTTGTTAAGTGGGACAAATAATTGAATACTCCATCCATCCCAAATGAAACTTTTCATTTTTTTTTACATAGTTTAAGAAAAGGTAAATTGAGTAGTTGGATGCACGAAGCGGAGATAGTAACAATGTCAAACATTCAATGCTTTCTTTAAAAGGGACATGAAGTTAATTTTGGGACGAACCAAAAAAGAAAGTGAGAAGTTTATTTTGGGACAAAGGTAATATGTAGTATAATTTATTCTTTCATCTAAAACACTTTTTCCACAAGCATAAAGTCTAAAATATAAATGCATAGAGGCTTATACTGAAATCTAAGAGCACTTGATTTTCTATTTATAAAAGTGGTATAGACACACACAAAACAATGTGCCTATATAGTATAGTCTAATATAAACTTGTATCATAATCGGTGGTTAGCTATTAGCAAATTGTGCTAGTCTTAACCCACGCAAGAATTCCATTAGCATGCACAATTACTTATAATGACATGACAACATCCATTTAAATAGAAGCTTGATCAAAAATTGTGTTTTTATGTCTCAACAAGTCTCATCACTCTAACCAAATAATTACTCCCTTTGTCCCGCTATTTTCCGGGCAAAGAGTGGATGTGCGCCACGCAAATGTTATCATGTATAGCATCGGAGTAAAATAGTAGGTCAGATAAAAAGACAAATAAACCAAAAAAATTTATCTTCTTTTTTCATGAAATTATCAATCTACTAGTATATAAACATTATGTGAGAAAATGAGTCGGAAAAGAATTCAAACAAATTATACTCTGTAAAAGACAACCACAAATGTTGGCAAACATAACACCACTCGTGTGAAAATAATCAAACAAGGTATCGAACACATAGCATGCGGATAGATTCTGTGAAGAGTCGAATCTTATATTCGGCCAACACACTGGAATGCTCAAAAAGGGCACAAAGATCCACCATTATCAATATGTATCTGGCTGCCACTCAACTCCAATCAAAAAGAGGTGAAAGGATCAAACTACATTTGCTGAGTAAAATATGGAGTTTGAGTTTTAATAGACACACACAAAAGGCTTAATTGCCCAAGCTAAGGCAAAATATTTTACTGGCATGGCACTAAGAAGACGTGCATTTGTAACTAGAATATCAATTGCCTACTAATTTGAATGTGGCGATACAGTTGACTAACAGAATACTCCAATAGAACAAAAAACACTAATGATATTACGAGGACTCCTTTTGTGTTTCCCTATCTTGAACTACCCACATCAGGTTACTAATGTTATTTTTGTGACCAAGAAACCTCAATTTATTTCTAAATTTATTATAACAATGTATGCTCTTGAGTCTTGACCAAATTCACGCGAAATAAAATTTTAATGCTCCAAAATAAGTCATATTATTAGAGTTACGTGCTCATTTATATATAAGACGAACTTTGAACACTACATTCTCCACTTTCGAGTGGGGGTAATGTCTGCGTACACACCCTCCCCACACCGTACTCTTGTGGGATCCAATAATGTTGTTTAAACACCAGATGAGCAAATGTATCTACCTAGCTATTCGAATTAAATTCAGTACGGAGTACCTATAAGTATTAGATGGAAAAAAATGTAGTTCATAAATAGATAAAAATTAAGTTTGCAATCAATGCCCAATATAGTGAAGAAGATTTGCTTACAGATAGACACAATACAAAATAGGTATCAAACCCCTGGATTGGCACTGCAGAGCATACCCTGAGACAAAGAGCGGGAGCCCTTAGAGTCAAGGCTGAGGCAAGAAGTGAGCCGAGCAGAAGAGACGGCTGAGTAGAGCGGCAGCAAGGACTGGAGAGCGGCAATGTGAGACAATGGTCTGAAAAAAAACGAAGCAAAATCATTGAAAAACAAGCACCAAAAAAACATCTTTTTGATTCTGGAATCAATAATAGGTATATATCTATACCTGGAGACTTACCTGTGGAGCGGGGGAAATGAACTGGCAGCGCCGAGTGAAGGATTGGAGGGTTTCAGTGCGGGTTTGGAGATTGCAGATTTGATTAGATTGAAGGCTGGTCTGGACAGGACGCGGCAGCGAGACGCCATTGAAGAGCTATGCCAGTCCCTGAGGGATTCCGCTAGGGTTAGAAGTCAGATTTCAGGAAGAAGTGGAGTTTAGGCTTCTAGCAGATAGGTGTGGCTTGTGACAGCATGCATCTCTAAAGTCTAAACTCTAAAACCATTTGGATGAGATTGGAGAGTGGAGTTTAGGCTTCTATCAATTTTTTTTATGAGATTTTTTTTTTTTTTGCAAAATCTTTTATACTACAAATATACTAAGATCAATAAAATAAATAAAAATTTTAGATTCACCAAAGAAGTTGTCTTGATTTGGTGTGATTAATTATCTCATTTCAGTTTTTCTCCTTCCCATCACTCCATCACACCACTATCATTGTATCACACTATCAATTCTAATTTTTTTAAAGTTTTTAATCATAATTAATTTATGTAATAAATAACATTAAATAAATAATTCGAAAAAATTTAAATTAAAATTACATTGGTGAAATAAAAAAGTAGAATTCAATATAAAATTAAAGAAATCTCCATACATAAGAGTAACAAAGGCATGAATATACTAATATAGAAGTATAATGGTAGTGCAACGTAAAAGTACGCATTGGTAGTGTAATGGAAAAGTGATGACAGTGTAATATGAAAGCATTATTAATCAACCGTCGGTGATCCACAGCGACACTCTAGCACCTGGTGGCAATAAATGTCATTGTGACAGTAATAGTGTGATAGTTACAATGTGAGAAATTAATTCACAAAGTCCGACACTTGAAAAGAGGAAACTCACGTATCCCACATCGAATTTGAGACGTTTCAATCTTTCATCTTCTACCATTATATGCTAGCATTGATTTGCATGATAACAGCAACTGGAGGAGGAATAAAATGACCCCTCGCGCACCGCCACCGCTGCCGTCCAGCACGACACGCTCGCGCGCGCGTGCAAACGCGTGTTGGCATGTGGCGCGTGCAATGCGTCGTGGCGGGGGCGTGTGCCAACTCTTATACTTTTTACGAGACCGAAATGAACATGTGTGGACATCGTTAATGACATAGTGTTGAAGAAGAAATTGAAGCATGCATGCAGTGTGAAAGGTCTCCGGTGACTCTCTGTGTTGACCGCTCGGTCCATCCGAATAGCCAATCCTCTCCTATACAAGGAGGGCTAGTTGCAGTGATGAAAAATTTTCGTCACTGCAAGTAACTCTCCGTTTGTTCCAGTTCGTTAGTGTCCGGTTCTACCTCTCTGGACCTTGCACATTAGCGAAAAGATCGTCCATGTTAGCCAGTGCGAAAGACGAATGATACTATCTTAAAGAAAGCCCCAACTCTGTTTTCTTTATCCGTTCAACTTCCGATAACCAACATTCTTCTATTTATTTTATTTCATTTCTTCGTTGTAACCGAATGCAATATAAGTTTGGATTATTTTTTCCTTTCCCACTGTAATATATTTAAACAACAAATACATGTTCCCATTCCAATTACATTTTAGTTTTTCGTTTATCATATCTTGAAGCACTACCAACAGAAATATTCTAGCAACAAATCATGGTGGTAAAGTAGTTTTTTTGTTCTTCTTTCGCATTCTATTTTCGGTTCTTTTTTTGCTTTCTTTGGTGTTTGTTGTTTCTTCATTTTTCAATTTTTTCTTTGCTTCTTCTTCACTTTTATTCTTTGCTTTTTTTGTTTTAATTTTTATATAACTTTTTTCAATTTTAAGCTTTTTAATTTTTTTATGGGCCTCAAAACACATGTCTTCTTTTGCTAATCTAATGGAATATGTGTTTCAAATGGGAACTTCCATTCAATTTATTCAAGAAACTTAATTCAATTTGATATTATTGTCTTGCATTAAACGAGATTTCAGATATTATGTATGAGTTGAATGTTTGTTCTATATTTTAAATCAAGTTTATGTAATTTTGTCACCTGAAATGGCCAGGGATGTGCTTCTTGTAGAAGAGACCAGTTAATTAGCTCATTATTCTCTCAAAACATTCCTCAGCTAGAGAAAAATGGAGGAATCCCGGCAGCCGCCGCCGCCGCTAACTTCCGGCAAGCTATCTCACAAGATCATCAAAATCGCCGCCGGCGAATCTCACACTCTGGCTCTCACCGGTTTCTACCCATCAAACTCCGCTATTTCTGTTCTTCATCGAATTAATATCTTTCTGCGAATAGATTTTTCAATTTCTCTTTGAAAAATCGTCTTCTTGCAGGGGATGGGAGCGTCTACTCTTGGGGTAGAGGAATGTTTGGCCGGCTCGGAACCGGATCGGAATCAGACCAGACTTTTCCGGTCAGAGTTGAATTTTTTAGCTCTGCCGCTGTTAGGATTGTGGATATTGCTGCTGGGGCTTATCACAGTCTAGCAGTTGCAGGTTTACTGTCACCTTCTTACTCGCTCTTTATTTTATTTGTTTGATGTTTACTACTGCCATGATTAGGCAGGAGTTACCATATGGTCTTAGACATTATCCCCCTGAGAGCTAGGATTAGAATACCTTGTGGGAATTTCTACGTTTTTGTTTTTCCTTAGTCTATATCATATTCATGTGTGCTTTCTATGCTATAAGTTTTGTGTTGTGTTTACTTTGTACGGAATATGTGCTTTTGTGTTGAAACGAGGTCTCTCAGAAACAGCCTCTCTACTTCCTAAGTAGGGGTAAGGTCAGCATACGCACATTCTCCGAGACCCTACTGTCTTGTGAGATTCTACTTGGTTTGTTGTTGTTTACTACTGCCGTGTGATTCTCGCTAAGAGGGAGCACTTTGTAAAATTCTATTGCTTACACATTCTTGCTAAGAGTTTTGATGGGACTACAACATTATATTAAGGATTCTTTACGTAGTTCGAGCAAATATCCCAATATTGTATTGAGTATGTTCAAACTTTCTGGGGCTCCTTTGATATCATATTCCAGCTCCCACATTTTAAAATGGAACCAACTCCTCTAAGGAGATTGTAGAAATATTGTGATTTGTGAGAGCTGGAATACCAGTCTCCATTTGCTCAGGATAGATGAATTAGACTTGATTTGATATGGGATGTTTGCATGAGCTGTTGTAGACTTGCAGTCACAAGTATTGATGTGTCCGCTTTCTCAGATGTGATTTAGAACAGAACTGGCATGTCAACAGCATCAGATTAGTATTGAACTATGTAAAGCATCGATAGTTTGATTTTGTAGTGAAATGGATAAAGATGAGACTTTGATTGGTCTTTATAAGTGAAAATGTTCTTTGCACCATAGGCATGAATAAGGATGTGGTTTGTCAAACGACAATATGCTTCATGTATGCCATATACTCTCTCTGCCCTTGCAATTAAGTTCCCACTCTCTTTTTAAGGCTGTCCTTAATTTAGTCCAGGTCCACAAAAGGCAAACATTTATTAAGAAAGTAGGGGCAAAATTGGAAAGTAATAGAAAAATGCAGAGCCTATATATGTGTCCTAGTCAAGCTAAGAACTTAATGGAAACTTGGAGTGTTTTTTTTGAACTTATTTTCAACCAAGTTCAGTTCACTTGAGTTCAATACTTTTCAGTTTAGTTCATTACTTTTACGTTAGCAACTAGAACTAAGTTATTCCATTTTTTTAGCACATTTTACTTTAGTTCAGTAGCTTTCAGTACAAAAGAGGAGACCTCTGATTGTGGACTATTATAGGCAACTTTAACCAGGAGACTATAAGAATTGTTCCTCTTAACTTGTGTACTCTTTTTTCATCTTTTGTCATTGCAGATGATGGATCTATTTGGGGATGGGGTTATAATATATGTATCCTTTGTTTTTGGTTTTTTTCATCTTTCTTTTTCCTATTACCCTTGCTGCATTTAATTCAGAAATACATTCACTTTTTATCCATTTTGTTAACCCTTGACCGATACATGGACGGCCAAGTTGGTGCAAATGGAGAAAATCTTTTAGCTCCTCAATTGTTGGAGGGATTCCTCGAGTTGGGTTTGGGTTCCCCAAATGCCTCAGGAGAGGAAGCGGAGAGGACGAAGTTAATGGTGGGGTTTTCTTCCTAATGAATAATCCTCAAAGACACTATGAGCATATGAATAGGTAGTTAACCTTCTAGGGTCCGTTTGGACCTTCAAAAAGGCTAAGAAAATAGAGCAGAAATTTAGAAGAAAATGAAGAGTGGAGGAAATATAATACTCCTATATATATATATATATATATGAAATGCTTCAGATTCAAAATAGAGAAGAAATTTAGAAGAAAAGGAAGTGTGTTGGAATTTCTTTAGGAGGGAGGGAGAGAGAGAGAGAGAGAGAG